ATTCTTGATCTAAACCATAATAAGATCCCACTCTTATGACACCGTTTAGCCTTAACTACCTCATTAAGGTCCTATCTTCAAATACAGTCACACCGGAGTTAGACCTTCAACATATGAATGGGGTAGGGAGCACAATTAATTCAATAACAGACCATAGTATGCCTACCTTGAAGGGATACTATGAGGATTAAATGGTTTGTTATTTGTAAAATATTTACAACAGTGTCTGGTACACAGTAGAGCTATTCTACTGTTCATTAAATTAATTTTTTTAAACATTCAAATAGTTTTTTAACCTGAGATGATTTCTGTAAAATGAAAGGAGCTCCCTCTTCCTGGCAAATGGGAATCAGCATATGAATTCATTATTTTTGCATAACAAGTACTTGAAAACTGAGCATCTTAAGACACACATAAATACTTACTATCTCATACAGTTTCTGTGAGACAGGAAGGCAGGAGTTTTGCTGGACTCTTCTGGCCCTCTCTCTCATACGGTTATAATTAAGAGACCACTGAAAGTCTCGACTGGGGCTGAATGATTTATTTCCAAAGTGGCTCATCATATACCAGAGCCACAACATGGGGATCTTCCTCCCCAAGCCCCCAAAGCACTGCATAAGCACCCTTATGACATGGCATTGGACTTCCCTTAAAGGAAGTGACCTCAGAGACAGAAAGCCAGAAATGACAGTCTTTTATGATCTGGCCTCAGAAGCAACATGCCGTGGTTTTTGCTTCATTCTTGGGTCACATCAGCTCTAATACTATGTGGGAGTGGACCACACAATCCATGAATGCCAGGCAGCAAGCATCAGTGGAAGTCATCACTAGAGGAAAATTACCCTATTTGGCCAATCAGATGTTCTTCCCAGGACTATGAAACATGAGGAAGTGACACAAAGATGTAGTGACAATGAAAGATTAGTTACAGTTCAGCAAAAATGTTAAGCGATGACAGCATCCTAGCAAGCAATTACCCAGAGTGCTCCGGGTTGTGTTTTCCGTTCCCTGACATGTTTTGGTTCTTCTCATTCTCTATGTTTCCCAGTCTCCTAGTTCTGTGGCATCAGTATTCTTTAATCTGCTGATTAATCAGTTATCTTCTATGATTTGTAACAAGAGCCTTAGCTAATACAATCTTGAACCCTTCCACTCTGCTTTCCAGCACACTTAATGCTTCTTTTGTGCCAGATTTCATATCCAGGACCTGTTGTTTTCTGCCCTTACTTGATCCTGCAGCCTAGAGCGGACACTACACTCCAAGTTTTTTGGTTCATTCTCATCTCTGTTAGTTAAAAAAAAAATTATAATCGGTCCTCAAACTGCTATTCCATAGCCAATTTCTCTCCAGATGCATTTTGGTCCATGACAGCGGAGAATATGAGAATCTTGTTCATTGCTGTACCCTCAGGACCTAACGTGGTAGGACTCCCAAAAAGTAAAATACAAAAAAATTACAGACTTCACTGTCTTTATGAGAGAGCTGACACTCTTGAGGTATCCATTTCTAGTTTGGATTGAATCTGATATTTGCCTTCATTTACTTTTGCATTGGCCAATACATTTTTCTCTTAATTTTTAAATTGATATTTTCAAAGCCCAGTGTGACATTGCCATCTTTTAGCCTCAAGCATTCCAGTTAAATATACCATTTTTGCTGTGAATTTTTCTCCCTATGGGGAAGCCAAAATATAATTAGTAGTTTATTTCATGAACATCAAGTTTGAAGGGGAAGGGAGTTAATTATTTGATTGTTTGGTGGCATCTGGTGAAGGAGGCTTGACTGGGAACTGAGGTGTTCCTGCCAACATGTCTGACAGCTCCACAAGCCAGCTCTCCCTCACTAGCACCAATGCTGGACTGTGGCTGTCTTTTTTCTCAGCTGACCAACTATCACTCTCCTCTTCCAATTGTCTCATCCTTTCTTTTGATATGCTATGACTCTCCATGCCCACGTTTGATGATCTGGGAACAATTTCTTTTAAGGACAATTATCTCTCTGATCAGGTTTGAAAGTTAGAAAGCAGGAGAAGAGAAAACAGAAATTTCAGGGATGAATCTAAATTTCAGGACTTGTTAAGTGATGTAAAATCAGTGTGACCTAGATCACTCGCCTGAGATACAATGAATGAAGATCATAAATCCTCCTAATATTAAAATTAATCGCTCAGTCCCACACAGGACCAAATTAAAAGCAATTTTTAAAAAATTTTATTTTAAAGAGAGTAACAAATGAGAAACAAACAAACAAAAGAACAGTAGCAGCATGCCAGTATCACAAACATAAACAAACCAAAGCAAGAACATTTAAAGTGATACTACTCTTCTTTAACCAAGCAAAATCAAATTACAAAAGTTTCCACAGTCCGAAGGGGTTGCCCCAGTTTCTTGGTTGACCAACTATAGCAGGAGAATTAGGACAGGAAGAAAGGAGGGAGGAAGGGAAAGGAGACACTCAAAACCTCTGCCCTACTTCAAAGCCAACATTCAATTGCCATTTCTGCGGTCACCCCCACACACACTGCACTTAGTGGACCCCTTCCAACATGTTCCTTTGAGCCTTTTGCCCCTCCTGGCCTACTTTGCCTGGATTTCTACACGTGTTTCTTTCATCCTTTCCATACAAACCATCGTCCCCACGGAGGCTCATTAGGACAGGGAGATCTGCCAGCCACAGACTTTTAAAAACACCCTACTTCATGGTTTCCTGTGACCCTGCAGTCAGGTGTTTGCCTCCCTTCAGGATATGGACTTCTTTGGGTAAAATTACGGGAAGTGCCCAACTTATGCATGAGCTGTGCTCTGGGAAAATTGTTCATCGGTTGGATTTATTTGTAAGCCAGAAGTGAGTCCTACACAGTGCACCTGTGAAAGTTCGCACTCGAACCTTTGTAAGTTGGTGACTTTAGTGTACCTGAAATCATCCTAACCTAGCTGATGTTCGGATGAAGTGGACTCAGATGTAATAGTGGACTTTAAGAAGTCTTTGATTATACAAATTCACTTGGACTTTTCCCCCCATTGAGCACAGCAAAATTTACACGGGAAAAACTTCACCAAACCACAAAATATCTTGATACAGATTTTCCCTGAGTCAATGAGTTTCACCTTCCCTTTGCATAATAAGCCTGGAGTCAAGCAACTCCTGTCTCTGAATGAAGAAAATCAGCTCCAATTTCCCCCCTTGTGATCGTTCACCTAATAAAGAAGTAGTTTGCAGCTTTTCCCAACCAAGTAGAAACCAAAAAATAGTTCATCTTGCCAAGTAATCCTCCATATCCCTATACAAAAATGATATACCACTCACAATTGCTAAAAGTGTAAATGTGGAACTGCCTTGAAAGGGGTGACACAGCAGACAAGTGAAGCACTTAGCATAGACTGAGGCTTGGAAACAGGGGCCTATGTTTGGTCTAAGTAGCAGCCCTCTTTAGATGTAGCCTGTGTAAAAAGGAGGCAAGTGAGTCTCCACTCCCACGTCTTCAGAGGCATGAATCTCACCCCATTTCCCTACACACAGTGATTGGGTCTGGGGTGGGGCTATGCCTCAGTGTCACTTAGGAGAATGAAGATGTGACTCTAACCTTGAAGGAGAGAAGGTTTCTTTGCTGGTAGATGAACTGTGTCACCCCTAAACAGCCTGCTTTCCTGTAGAACCAAGGGAGGAAGTGAAACTATCAATAAATCCTGGTAGTAAGAGATACACAGTGCTCAGCTGAGTACTAGGTTTGCCTTTGGGTTGTTATTTTGGATGGCAATTTCTGTCGCTTTCCATCAGAAGCTTCTCATCTGATTAAACACTGATTAAACACTGATTAATTTGGGTCCTAGAAGGTTGTACTGTGAGAAGGAAAGGTGGGGAAGCACATTTTCTTTTGTTTTTCTTTGAATTTGTGCCTATGGTAACCACTATGATAACAGGAAGTACAGTTTAATTGGAAATAGGCTAAAGTAGTTCTCTGAATACTCATTTAAGGCTAACTGCCTGAGTAGTGTTGATGTCAGATAAATTGGCTCTCCTATTATAAAGTGCATTTCTCCTGATTAGGACTTGATTAAACAACAACAACAAAAATAACCTCTTCAAACTGAAACAGCAGCAGCTTTCTGGATTCCATTTTTCTCAGCAAGATAATGAGTGTGGCACACTGTTTAGCATGTTTTAATTGGATGAATATTAGATGTACAATTTTTTATCATTCATGCTTTGTGAACTAAGAATTTCCTTACATTGTAGAGTTAGCACATAAAGATTTCCTTACATTTGTCACAAAAATATCTCCACATACAAAAATAATTCCTACAACATGACAATTTATACATTAAACTTTTTTAAAAGTTGCCCACTTTAGTTCATACAGCATTTAACCTTTTTGAAACACTGCTTTTGACCATGAATTGTTTTTTTCAAAATAGATATTTTTATACAATAAAATTCTAGTAAATTTTTGATTGACCATTAAGTCTAAGCAGTTATTAATTGTGCACTCTCCTCTGTAAGAGAAAAAAAACCTGAGCAGGTGACCCTTACCTTCTGGAAATCTATAAGCTAGCTGAGGTTAACAAAATGTGCTAGATAAAAATTTTTAGTACAGTTTTCACAGCAAAATACCAGTGAATACAATACAGAATCATAAAGTAATAAGAAAATAATTGGTAGAGAGTTTTTAGCATTTCTTATTTGGCTCATCAGAAGGAAATAGTTTAGTGAAGAAAAGGTGCTTAAAACCTAGCAAGTCGTGTGGTACCTCCAAATGAATAATTTTTGACATTCATCTATCTAATAGAGAGTTACATACATTTTGCATATTAGGTGCTGTGTTAGGTGCCCTTGGTCTTTCATGTTTTGTTTAGTCTTTTTTGTTTTTTTTTCCGGTACCAGGAATCGAACTCACGACCTTGTGCTTTCCAGGCAGCCGCTTTCCCACTGAGCTAAATCCCCAGCCCCTTTGTTTAGTCTTTTGGATGCACATCAGACATAAGAATCAGTACTCTTATCATATCATTACCATCATGGGTTTATTCAGGGAGTGGAGTTGTTTGCAGTGTAAGGCTGTTATAAACACATGCACATGCTTCCTGATACGCGTGATCACACATGCATAAAGATGTAAAATTCTTGATCTTCAGCTGCTCTAGTACATAAGATACAAAATTATCTTAAAAGTGGTTGAACCCATTTATATTCCTTCCAGCAATAAAAAAGATGTCCAGTTGATCCAAATCCTCACCCACACTTGGCATTGAGAGACTGCTTAATCTTTGCTAGCCTATTTTGTATAAAATGGTATTTCATTATTGTCTAGATTTGTTTATCTACTGAAACTGCAGTTTGATATCTCTTCATATATTTTCTGTGTGTGTGTGTGTGTGTGTGTGTGTGTGTCATTCTCCTTTTTGACTCAATATACTTAATACTAAAGCTATAAATGGGTATGAACTAGTAAATACATGATGCTAGCAAGTTGAAAAAGAGGTCCACTGAAGGATAAAAGATTCTGATATTCTTTTCTTCTCGAGAGAATGTGAAAGAACACTTACACTTTGATCTGGTAACTAGAGAAAGAATTAGCTTCAAATAAGACTTGCCTTTTATGACATTAGGCAAGTCTACATCAGATTCTTCAATTCCTCACTTAGGGTTAGGGTTAGGGTTAGGGTTGGATTAGCTTATAGAATTCCAACCAAATCAAAAGAGGAAGAAATGGACCAGAAAGTCCCTTTCACACAAAGTGATCCTGAATGATCTGAAACCAACAGCTTTCCAGGCTAAAAGGTATATTTCTGGTTCAATCGGAAAATCAGTTCACCAATGAAAGACACAGAATTTTCAGATCATCTTGGAGCCACCCTCGACAGGAACATCAGGGTGATTTCTGCTCTGTGACTATAGGAAATAACTTCAAACAAAAATAGAATTAGAGTATACTTTAGAAACAGAAGACTAAGCAACACTGCTTTGGGCACATGGCCAAATAGCTATAAACATCATTACCTTTACTTTTTCAACCTCCAAATGTGAAAGATAGAAAGAAAATGACTGCACAAAAACTTTTGCTTCACTGAGTGCCTGATGCTAATTGAAAAGTATGATAAAATACTGGAGACACTGTGTCCTACAAAGACAAATAAAAAATGTGAACATTAACAAACATGTTAAAAGAGATTTTCAAAGGGTGATAAGTTTACACATTCCAGCCATAATCCCAATGGCTACATTTTTAAAGACATTTTTCTTCAAATGAGAGCAAGAAATTAAAACTTTCAGAATCCAAAGCTTCCAAGAAATGGTAAAACTCATAAATGCAATGCTGTTTATTTGTATTCATAGCACATATTTCTAGTAGATTTCCTTTCTCAACATTCCAGTGTATTTGGAACAGAGAGGGATTTGAATTGGACTTTTTACCAGTGGACAAACTGAGTCAAAAAGAAATGTGGAAAGTCATGCAAAGGCATAAACAGACCTAGGAGTCACATTTCCAAAGCTTTGGTGAACATAACATGGGCAAATCTCTTTCGGGTCTTCTCATGGTAAATAGAATAGGAAAAAATACAGTTCTAATATTGCACTGATGCAAAGCTTGTGTTTTAAGAGTATAAAAGTGCTCTGTGATCAGTTACTTTGATTATACGTACATAAGAAGGCTATGCAAAGGTGATGAAACTCATCAGCAATCATCTTGATTTTCTTGTGTGTGTTTCCTTATCACAATCCCCAGATGTCACAATCGACACACCTACTTGTTAAATTGGAGAAATACTTGAACTACAGTCAGCAGATGCTAGAACAGATGGAAATTTTCTTTCTGGGCTGAGGAAAAGAAATCTCCAATTAAGAAATGCCTGGACACTATTTTGTCTCCCTTCTAGTTGACTGAACTATGAGATTTCCTTATGTCACAGTTTAGAATTTTTAAAAAATCTTTCCATTTTCCTTTAAAAATCTGAAGATGTATCTATACACATTAGCTTAAAATCTGCTCACTTTTAGGTCCTTATAAAATGACTTTGGCACTTTCAAAAAATGAAATTAAACGTTTTCGTGTAGTGGTTATAGTTACTACTTTTATCCTTATCCATCTGGTGTCAACTTTGTCTCTTACATTTTCTCTCCATCCACTTAACAACTCTACACAGTATCTATTATCTGCCTAACACTATTTCTTCAGTACATTATCCTCCATCTATTCAAACAGAGGCACTACAAAATGCAAATTAAAACAGGTCCTTTGTGCAAATATGGAATAATTCTGTACCCACTATCCACCCAGTGCCCCAAATGCAACCTCCAACAATTAGCATCATTAGTGTCTTTGGGGAGAGGCCAATAACATCCAGCTAACAGCTGCTTCTGACAGGTACTCTGGCTGTGCCCTGATTTTTCCTGAATGAATGAAGCCTTTCCATACTACATGCCTTTTCCATACTACATGCCTGCCACTGTCCCAAGCTCTTTACTCTCCCAAATCACCACTAATGAGAGGACACACAAAGCAGCCTTTGGCAGGGGGTCTTAGGTAGTGGAGGAGGATAGGCATCAACTCATAGCTTACCAGATGTCTTAAGATACTGGTCTCATTCTTTAAAAATCCTCAGTCATTTTTCAATAGGTTATTTTTAGAGCACTTTTGTTTTCCCAGCAAAATCTGAGTAGAAGGTACAGAGATTTCCCACAGTATCCCCCATTACCAACACCCTGCAACATGGCGGCACATTTGTTACAACCGATGAACCTAGAGTGACAGCATCGCCCTTGGAAGGCCATCGTTGACATGAGAGTTCACTCTTGGTGTGCTTAAGTTCTGATTTTTGACAAGTGTTTTGACCTGTACCCGCCATTGTAGTATCACAAGAACAGTTTCACTGCCCTAATGTCCTTTGCTTACTACTCACCTGTCCCTCCATCCCCCTTACTTCTGGCAATACTGTCCCTTTCCACAATGTCCCACAACTACGTGACATCCTGGAAAAGGCAAAACCATGGATAGTACATAGCCCTTAACATTGGCTTCTGACACTTTTCATTTAAGTTTCTCCCACAGGCTTTCTGCCTTGATGGTTCATTTTTTTAAAAGTGATGAATGATATTTTTATTGTTTGGCGCTAGCACAACTTGTTCATCCATTCCACTTACTAAAGGATATCACACATGATTCCTTCTAAGTGTCAGCAGTAGTGAAATCACATTGCTGTAATCACCAGGTATAAATTTTTCTGTGGAGATAAATTTTTAATTCATTCGGTAATACCAAGGAGCATGACTGCTGGTTTGTGTGATAAGAATATGGTTCATTTTATGAGAAACTGCCAAACACTTTCCAAATCAGCTGTGCCGTTCTGCATTCCTTCCAGCGTCAAGGAGAGTTTCTGTTGCTCTACATGGTCCTGGCCTTGCTTGTCCATATTTAGGATTTTGGCCATTCCAGGAAAGGTCCCATGGTATATATATATATAAAATCATTCCCATACTCAACATTCTTTAAATTTTCTCCTTTGCTATAGTCTAGGAGTTTCCTAGTTTTGGTTTAACATTTAGATCAATGATTCATTTTGCACTAATTTTATGTGAAGTGTGTATGACTCGTATTTAGATTCATTTTATTTTTTGCATGTAGCTGTGCAGTGGGCTCAGCACTTTAGCCACTTTTTCCGAGACTGAATATGCTGCTTCCCTGAGCTCTCAAAATTCCTGCTTCTTTTTTTATTGTGAAACAATTTTCTAACATGTCACCCTATCAAATTGTCCCTACCATTCCCAGAGGGTCTCAATTTTATTACCAAACTCGCTGATTAAATCACATCTGAATATCTGAAATATGCCCAAGCTGTGTGTCCTCCACTAGAATATGATAGTGAACATCTGGGTGGGAGGGGTAGTCATTGACTTCGTCATAATTTTATTCCAACTGCAAGTAAAACAGACCAGATACTATTATGCACAAAAAGCAATTGCTGATTTTCATCTTGTGCCATTTCCCTTCAACTTGTCCTTCCTTCTCTTCTTAACATTTGTTGTTCTGAAAGGAAACCAGAAAGAGCCCCAGTGACTAAATGTTCCAGGAAGAATTACTGTGTTATGTATGGCATCTATACATTTCAAAACTGTGTGCCAATATTTATTCTTGATTCTTAAATATGAAACAGTTACTTTTTTTCTTAATTATGACAATTCTTGCCACCCTTTCACTAAAATGTACTTGAAATAAATCAATAGAATGTAGAGATCATTTTAGTAAGTGAAAAAGGTATCTTTCCACCTGTTTTCCAATTTCAAAGAGGTATTTCAAAGAACACTTATTACATTTCTTATATGAAAAGTTCAAGGGATCAATTATTGAAATTTTTCAGGTATAATAAAAATTACTAAGAAATTATGGATCACCTCTATCAATGATAAAGCCAAGAAAAATACCAGGAAAGATAAAGTGGTAAAAGAAAGTAATAAATGGATAACACAATATACTGAACCCTCACAAGTGTGAAGAGAGGGTTAAACCAAAACAGCTATGTCACTAAGGAGTCGGGGATGACACAATGAACCCTTTTGCTTGGACTCCTAATGACATCGGGGCCCATTAAATTTTGGGTAAATGAAGTTCTACTAATATTCCTTGGAGTCTTTCGTTTAAGCTTCTATAAAAATATACCTTAATTGATGTTGCAGATTTGGGACTGTTTCCTAGATACTCCTAATGAAATCAGAATAATTACTATTGTTCATTGTCTTTCAGAGGCATCAGATCAAGCCCTAGAATTACTGCAGCCGATCCTGTTTATAAATGTTTATAAAAAGCATCCTCATAACCTGAAGTCAGTTTGTTCTTTTGCTGCCTTCTGTAAAAGCAAGTAAACAGAACATGGAATTTGTAGAGTTGAATGAATTTTTAGGGATAAAGAGAAAACTAAAGCTATGGAGTCAATCAATCTAAACTATCTTTCATAGACTATCTCCTTTCTATCAAGTCTCTTAGAACAAAAAGCTTCTCCAATTTATTAAGAAAAGCAAACATAAAATTTAACAAGGAGAATAATATATAAACTTTAAGACACTATTTTCCTCTGACAAGTCAAGCAATAAATTGTCAAGGCTCTGTAAAGTGGGCTCTAAATTAAGATTCAGTACTAATATAAAGACTAAAAGTAAAACTTTAACCTTGTCACAGAATTGGGCTACAATTTTTTACTTTTTCTAACCTTAATTCTACTTAATATTATATATAGTGTGTAGGTATTCTGTTACATTTCAATAATGCTTTCCCTAAGTAAAAGATGAATGACCCTACACTTCTTTTCAAAATTTTACAGTAAAACTGCCATTACTTTTTTTATATTCATAGCTTTTCTTCAGAAAGCAAGTCTGAAAGTTAAATACCGCCATTACAAGCCAACAAAACAAGACAGCTTCTTAAACTTGTGCCCAAAGCTGCATTTGGGACCTTCCTTACAAGCATGTGATTACATTTGCATGCCATCAAAGCAATAGCAATTCTCCTCCAAATTACTTTGCATCCCCACAACCATGAGGATGTTAGTACACAAAAATAAATATTTACTGAGTTCCGGCGGGGAGGTGTATTTGGAACCTTGGCTGCTTTAATTTAAAATGAGTTCCTCTCAGTGTACAAAGAGCCCCTAGCTTCTTAACTGCTACACTGAGAAACAATTAAAGACTGGCGAGTAGATTTCGAGTCCTCTGCCCAGCTGAGGAGTGGGCTCTTGACAGCGGACTGACGGAAGGGTAGCAGTCGTCAAAGAATGCCCATAAGAACCACATGGAGTAACATCCTCTTTTAACGTGCACTGGAAGGCCCAGCGCTGATGGTGTTCACACAGCTGTATGTTATTAGGAAGGGGCCTCAAATGAACCAGGGAGCCCTCTTTTGGGGTCATTTACTATCATAATATTGTTAACTAAAACCTGCTGGTGGCATAGCAACTTAGTGGAGAACAATACATCACTATTTTTCGACAGCTGATATAGGCTATAGGGAGTTCTCTCTCTTCTTTCTGTGTGTTTGGAGAAATTAATTTTATTTCTAAATTTTATAGAGATCTCCTGGGGCTAATAAATGTGACTTTTAAAAAAAAAAAACTGTACTTGAAATTGAACTCAGCACTACTACAGTGAGCTACATTCCCAGCCCTTTATTTTTTTTTATTTATTTAGAGAGAAGTTCTCTCTAAATCACTACATTGTCCAGTCTGGGTTCGAATGTGTGATCCTCCTGCTTCAGCTTCCCAAGTGCTGAGATTACAGGCAGGTTAGATGTAGCTCCTCATCTAAAAAGTGTAGCAGTGAAAATTCTAAAATATGCCTTGATATGACAAATTTTATTTGAATTACATGCAAAAATAAAAATGCAAAAGGTCTCTGAGTGTTTTCTTGAAAATATCAAGTGAATAATCAAATAAAACTGTCACAACAAAATGGTGGTCTGGGAATGCTATACTAGGTAGCCAAGACTTTTTTAAAATAAATATATAGGATAGATATACTTCTCCCTGAATTACCTCTTTAATGTTATTGATAATGAATTTAAAATAATTACCTAATAGTAAAATCAATCACTAAGTAAAATGTAGCTTTAAAATAAACTCAGCCTAAAGCTGTCATTTGATAACACAGAAGTCAATCTCTTTTTCACTTTGAATTTCAAGTATGCCAATATTCAGAAAAATGGTATGATAAAATAAGGATCTCATGTCACAGTCTGAAAATAATCAGTGACCTCTTCTTGTTTTCCTCCAACGAACATTTTAGCGAGCACCTGTTATGTGCAAGAGCCCGAGAATCTCCAGTGGTTCATAACTGAGGATCAGCTTAAGAGCCGCTGTTTCCGGACACAGCTACGGGAAATGAAGTCAACGCTAAGCCAAATGTACTGGCTTCCGAATCAACCCAATAAGGAAATGGTGGAGAATCGCTCTTACATCTCATTACAAGATAACGATCAGATTTTTCTCATGCATGTGGATACTTTACACAACGAGGTTAATATTGTTGAATCAATAAAAGCACTCAATCAAAAAGCACAATCAAGAACTCTATTAAACACAAGAAAAAGAACATCTCCAAGGTTTTCTTCTAATTGCAGTGCTTCTCTATAAACGAATAGCACTTGAATAGAAATGTGTTACTTTGGTACAATACCACGCTTTCTCTGTACTGCACACGGTTGTCATTCTGCAGCCATAGACAATAGCCGATGGCATTCATGGCAGGCAATGCGTTGCACTTTGAAGGGCAGGTTTTGCTGCTGCAGATGGGTTGAGGTTAGATGAGCACAGGACCGAGGACATGTTGCCGCTGCTTGTTGGAAAACGTCTCAGCACACTCTGTTGATTTGCATTCTTCACTCACCTTCTCAATATTTCTGGTTGCAAATTGCTGGCCTTAAAATGAATGTCAGTAAATAGCCTAGACAAAGAGCAGCTTCACATTAACTGATCTTTACACAAAAGCCACTCAAGGATGGCGCTTACATGTTACACTTCTCAGGCTGCTACTGTACACTAAGAAGACTCACAATTTGTTCCTGATCACAGGTTTTTTTAAGCAGCAATCTTCACGGATAAGTCAACAGAAATGCCAGATAAAGAAATGCCAGATAGAAGTCCCGTAGTCTCAGCTTCACTTTTGAGCTCTAAATTTCAAAATCCCTTTACTCTTTCTTTCCTCTTCTACTGAGCGAAGGCTTGGTTATGTAAGACTTGTTTCTTTCTAAAAGAGAGCACAGGACAGTGATCAATTCTTTGAAACACACCCAAGTGGAGTACAAAGACTTCTCTGGCTCAAACCCAGATGTCCACAGGAGACAGAAAAGCAATACCGCAGGCTCAATTTGGGCAACTCTGTGCCCCAGGTCACACTACCCACTGCCACCAAGATGCTCAAATGACTTCAATGTTAAGTGGAAAGACTATGAATTTCCACAAACTAAAGAATGTGAACACCCATGAGCAGCAGGTTCTTCCTACTAGTTTAGACACAGTACAAGTCCTTGAAAGATTTTGGTCTCCATGTGTGGTTAGGGCTGTGGGGCCACTCCTGTTTGTTGGCTACTTTCACCCATCGCCTCAGGCATTTTGAATAGTGCTACCTCTTGTTTTCAAGGGCCCTGGACAGCCTGACTTCGGACTGTAGCTCCACTCTTTTCCAGAGCTAGGACAAGCTGCTTGGCCTCTGTCTCAGTACCTATGACCATGTATAAGCAGCATAGAGGTGCCTATCTTATTCGTATTTAATGCTCAACACGAACTCAAAAGGAATTAGCCGTGATTTTATGTCACAGCATTTATCTTAAGACTCAGAAGGTATTGTGTGCTGGTTCCTTTACATTTTGGATTTATTATTGATTATCTTCCTACCAGTATATGACAAATAAATGCCAGGAGATGTAATGATTCCAAGAGAGAATGCACACTACTATTGAGTGTAATGTAAAAAGTTTTGGCCTGAGATAAAAAAGAAATTCTCAGTTCATTCTTTAAAATTGGAATTTTTGCATACAATAAGTAAGTGTAAAATATATTTATTCAATGATAAGATGCACTTTTTCTTTTAACAATCTTCAATTCAGCAAACAAACTGCAACCAATAAATATACGTTTTGATGTCCCCCATCTTAAATGTAACTTGTTTTTAAAATATTAAGATTAAGAATCATAAAAATTTGGAAATATATAGACACACTTTTTATACACACAATATACTGAATACCTCCTTTCATGTGTTTGTGTATAATGCATGCTTTTAAAGTAACTTAATTCATAAAGAAAGACATTGATAAATTTGGCCATGTTAAGGTTAAAAGACATCTTACCAAAAATGAAAGACTAGCCACAAAATAGAAGATACACATATACACTGAAAGACTTAGTATTAGGTCTATTTTTAAAATACAGTTTAATAAAAAAAACAGGGAAAAGACAGGAATAAGTATTTCATTCAAAAGAAATACATTTGATGAATAAGGGGATGAAGTTAATCCCATCAAAATTTCTGAAAAATGACATTGCATTGAGATTCATGATGCAGTTCACAGTTCATAGAAATTCATGATGCAATTCAAATTGCATATAATTTTTCAACAATGTTGGCAAAAATTAGGACTTCTGACCCTGCCAAGTGTTAGTGAAAGTGAATCAGTGTTTTGAAAATAATTTCTGAAGTTATAAATCTCAGAGTTTAATATGTGTATACTCTATGACCTAGCAATTTTCTTCTAAGGGTAGTACTTGCATCTATGCACCACAGACACACATTAAGGTCCTTCTACATCACAGTTCAGAATAAAAACAGTTTCAGACATTTCAAATGCCCATTAAGAGAAAAATGAATAGATAAACTGCAGGATATGTTCACCAGCAAAACAATAATGAATTACAGGAACAACACAGATGAATCTTAGTAATGATACTGAAGAAAAAAGAAAATTAAAGTATATTTAGGCACAGGCATCTTTTTCTTTTTTGTATACACATATGGGATGAGATTATTTTCAACAGAAATACTAGATACTAAATTTGAAATAGTGTTTACCTCTGAAGTAACAGTAAAAGGCCAGAAAACGTATATACAATATTCCAGCTCTCGGGGTAGATTGTAGGCACATTGGCATTTTTATTATGAAAGCAAGTAAGAAATGTCCAAGCTTAATCAAATGATGAAAAATTATGATCACTCTAATTCTAGAGGGCTAGGAAAGAGGTAACTCCCTTTAAAAGTTTAGTGGTGAGTGGGTTATTTGCATTCGCAGACTTTGCTTGTTGCATTTTTTCATACTTAGTGACTTATGAAAGTCACTCCAGATGTCATTACTTTGTCCTTTTATAGTAAATTCCAAAAAACAATACAGCACATAAGAAAAGAGCATTTCCTTTTAGATTTTACAAAATCTGCTATGGCAACAGCTGCTTTAGCAGAAGATAGGTACTATTGCTGATGTCTTCAAAGATTCACCAAGTGATTGGGGAATTTGATGTGATAGCAGAAACAGCATGTATATTTATTTTAAAAAAAAATCTAGATAAACACATTTGCTTGCCTTTCCTTCCTGCCAGCAGTATTTATTTCACAGTTCACTTGCTGTGCTGCATGTGTTGTGCTCCACGTCTCTATTGATAAGTGCTGATCAAGTAGACTAAATTATCAGCAGGTGTCTGACCCTGGTGTTCCTCTCTATTAACTATAGCACAGATAGCTCTAAACTGTTTTGCTTTCAGTGTTCTCAGCAAAACACTGAGATCTTGCACTTTTGGCTCCGTCTTGGGCTTCCCCACTTTCTACTGTGTATGAATAAAGACGCAGATCATGCCAGGTTGTCACTCCCTTTCCATTAGAGAGGTCAGGTCCTACCCGATCCCAGCTTTCCTTTTAATATGTGTCTACTTTTTTCTTAGTCTCTCATTGTCCCCTCTCAGGACCCCATATGCTGAGCAAATCATGGCACTAAAGTCCACTGTCAAATTTTGGAATATAAATATATATTTCTATATAATACAACCAGAGAAAATGGATAGCATAGAATGCTTTTAAAGTGAAGAAAAAGCTTTTGAAATTCATGAGTACTCTAATTTTTAGTACCAATAGAGTGAAACAATATAAAGAAATACAACTTTAGGCATGTTATGCTTTGCACTTGGATAATTTTCAAATTTATATCAAAAATTATAATAGCCATTGTGCAAAGAATATAGAATTTGGAGGTATAGTAAATGTCAATGAAAATTTCGTAGGCAGACAAATATAGACAATTTAATAAAGCCATAAGTTGGAACCTAACAAAAACCCTTCATATTTAGGGGCTAATTTCATGAAAGAAAGAGCAGAAATGTTCTCTTTACACAGAATGTTAAGCAAACCTAGCATCGAATCAAGTTGGTGACATCAAGTTCAACTGAAGAGTACTTGTTCATCCTTTTTTTCACACACTGGCTCTGACAGTCATGTTTGATCAGTCATTTTATTTTACCCAGAGAGCTCTCTAGTTCAAGAGGAGCTGGGTGTAAGGTATAATGAGTAGGAGAGGGAGCAAGGCATCAGTATCATTCCTTTCTTGTGCAATAAGTATTTACTCTGTTCTCTTGCATGCCACATACTGTGCGGCACGCTGGACAGTAAGGGTGTGCAAAATGGCAAGATTTGTCCTCAGGCAGCTCGCAGTCCTGTGAGCAATGAGGGCAAGGGACAGAGAATGGGACTTGGGGGGTGATGCATGTTGTGTGTGACAAGAGAAGCACCAAGTGCTAGAATACGTTCAGCCATCTGTACTTTAACAATCCATGAACACATTCCCCAAAGTCTCCTTGTTTCAAAGGAAGCCAGACATCAGGAGGGAACACTCATGGCTTGTGCTAAGACTGGAGCTTAGGTGGGGGGAGGGCAGGCTGAGCAGTTGCTGGCCGAGCCGCGGTTAGAACATAAAGAAACTTCCACAGCAAGTGAACAAGCTTAGATGTCATCTCCATGGCTATGGGAATCTTTGTAGGATCAGCAACAGGAATGATCACGGTCATATTTCATGAAGATCACTCTAGCAGTTCGGAAAAGGATGGATTGAAAGTCAAGGTGAGGGAAACCAGTGCAGGATTAGAAAAGTAGTGCGTGATTCCAGGTGTGGAATGCTGATCTGCTCCAGGACAGTGGGGAGCAGAAAGAGATATAAAATCCCCTAAAAGAGGGCGTCTTGCTTAGCTGTCTGTGTCATTCTAAGAATAAAATAAGATGTTAGTGTGAACACAGAAGAAACATGTTAAGTTTTGCTTTGTTTAGCAGCTACTTATAGGAAGGAGGCACAAGGAAACCCTGCCTAAAATAGTAAAGGCAAGACATTTCATTTAAAAATATGGATGTGCGCACCTACATTCATGCATGTGTACATGTAATTTCATGTAATTAGAAAACAGTTTCTGTGTAGTGTAATTTATAGGATAAGCATTTTGCAGAGTTATTGGTTACAGACTATAGGAAAAATATTTTAAGATTTTAAAATTTTTGTTTGGTTTTGGACATGATGGTTGCGTAATGGAAAGTAAGTTTTAACTTCAAAAATGTATTTGGAGTTTTTCAGATTCAAAACTGGTCATCAGGAATAAGTGGCCTTGGTTTAAAATGTGCAGAAATGAACACCACTTATGTACCGGTAGATCACCAGAATGTTCTGGAACAGTGACACAGTCACAAAATGGTCAGCACATTAGGATTACCCGGGGAGCTTTTACAAAAAGCTTTTGCAAAACCTATGCTTCTCTCCAGATCTATAAATGGACAGTTTCTTGGGATGGGACACAGACACGGGTACGTTAAACTCCTCAGGTGGCACCTAAGTTTAGGAACCTCTGGTCTAGAAGAGGAACTCAAAAGAGAACTGAAACTGCCCTGTGCATACTGGAGCTGGTATAATGCTGAAGCCACAAACTCAGGTGTGTAAGATATAGCTTTATTTTCATACAAGTGACTACCCTTTCTGTTTTACATCTTCTGCTCATGGGGTCATTAAAGTGTACTTTTGGTCCATCCATGTCTTCCTCACTTTATCCACATGCTGCTTTTTAATTGGTGCTGGCTGTTCAGTTAATCAAGAGTTATAAAACACTAAGGTAAGACAGAGAGCAAGCCAGCCTAGTAGGGAAGAGCATCCACTGAATCCGCAGCTGATGTCAATTCATGCTGGCTCCTGAGCCCCCTGGACACGTGTCTTCCCCAGGTGTCTATGTCTG